ATTACTTTGCCCCAGCACCTGTCTCCCTCTCACTCACCTGATACAATAACTTATACATCTCTACTGAATGTATTAAAATACTCCACTGAAAGTTTGGACTTCAGTTACAGGGAAGTATTTAATAATTTGATCCGAGAACAAACTTAAGAATAAGAAGTGTGTCAAGGAAGACCTCCTCCACGTGACTACACCTTGGTGAGAGAAACAATCCCGTCAACAACAAACTGAGCAAAGTTATATGGCGGAAACTCACATAGTTGTCAGTGAAGAAGATGGGGATGATGATAAGAAAAAACTAAGGGGCGTCACCGAGGAGTTGTGTACAGGATGGTTGAGGACGACCTGACGACTAGGTGATGGTCGCCCACACGAGGCAGGTCATAAAAGATGAGAAGATGATCTTACAAGACGTATCGTGCAGTTATTCACCAAATGTATTAAAAGTAAACTTGTTCAGAACTGAGATTAATGTTACTGTTATACGTCCTGCTTAAAACAAGTGGTAATTCATAAAACTAAAGAACCTACACACTAATTATACTTCAACCAGTTGTGTGTAAAATGGTTACAAAAAACGCTGACCACCAGACTGCTGCAATATAAGGTTTCTGTCAACGGAGAGCCAGAACGGGTTAAGAAGTAGTTACTGTAATACACATCTTGTACAGAAAGTGTTCCTGCTGTGTAATGAAGCCAATTACCATTATGTTTATGGTGTATCGACTGTGAATATTTTTAATCTTCTCATCGACTGGAATATATTGATAAAGAATGAGAACATTATTTTCGAACCTTTGAGGGTGTTTACAAGTTATTGAATTGAGTTAAACTATATTAAGATCACACTATGTGCTCCTTCTGTTGATGACTTCTGGGATATGGTTCAAACTGTCTGAAAATACAAAGGTTAAATACGAGAACTGTAGGAAGTTAAGAAAATAGTGAGACTTAGTTAACTGGATTAATGTAATGGTTAACACAGTCTTACATTCCTCTTACAGATGGTCAACAATGTAAATATTTTAAATAATAATAAAATGTATCTATATAAAGAAATTATTTGGATCACCAGATGAAAACGTTGGAGAGATTTTCAGACTTACTCGATATACAAAAACAACTACTGTACTTCCTTTATTTAAATAGATAAGCATTTGACCAGTGACTAATGCCAACAATAATTTATGGATATCAGACAATGCGAGTCAATGAGAAAATACCAATAAAATCCCTTCTACTCAAATAAACTTAGAAATATGTTTATTCAACACTAAAGCAGAGTGAGACGATGCATCAAGCACGAGATGTTAATACTAATAAGTCGGAATTGAAATGGCGGAGGTCAAGTTACACGACAAGAACAGATCAACAAGGTATAAGAAGAGCCTCGAGTGTATTTCAAAAGATAATAAAAGACTCGGATAAGATCAGCTGTCAGATGGATAGATTAGGTCAGGAAACTTGGAGGTGACCAGCGTACAGGGGGAGGTCAGGAGGGTGGATGGTGGAGCATACCGGGAAGACCTTCCTCACCACTGGTTATATATACAGTCACCAGGGTGCTCCAGTGTGTGTGTGTGTCAGGGCCCGAAACACTTGAATGTTTGCCGACGTGGTTATGTTTTGTCCCGGAATGTTAGAAAATTCTATTACTTGAATCCATTATTTTAAAGCAATGCTCACCCAGCAGACATTGACCTTGAGAACATGTCTGTTGCTGGCAGCTTCGTAACTAAGAGTAAACTTTGCCACACACACACACACACACATATCTACAGTATACCTATATACAGTATATACAATGACATTACTTGTGGAATTGAGAAACAAATATTCTGTATCGTAACACACAAGTCTGTTTCCTGTAAGATTTTTGTAAAACCATATATTACAACATTTACCAAAGTAACCTACAACACCATGACTCTCCTGACCCAGCTGACGACATAAAGATGCTGTGGTAATTACATCAGAGCACAGTGATAGTTTGTGTTCAATGTTGACCTATTACCGGCCAGGTCAGTGTGTTATTACCTCGTGGCTACAGAACACAGACAGTGGGGTACTTTTGTGTCATAATAGAAAGCTGTGGATATTTTGGTGCTGTAATACAGGAAATGGGATTTTTTTTTGTTTTGATAGCGAACATTGGATACTTTTTGCTCATAAGAACAAATAGGATATATTAGTCCTACGATGGGGAATTGAACGTTTTTCTTGCTATAAATGTAAATATTGGATATTTCTTTGCTACTACAAAATGCTTTTCCCTCAAAAATGGAGGAAATTATTTTGTTTTTCTCTCAAACAGAAACAAAATTGCTCATAGAAAAAATATTGAATAACTTTTGGTCTTTCTGGATAAATGACTTTTTGACCCCAATTAAAAAAGAAGAAGAGTTTTCACATTTTGTTAAAGACAATGGGGCCAGTGGTCAGCTTGATACAAGAGGAGGAGGAGAAGAATACAGTGGGTGATACAGGAGGAGAGTACAGTGGGTGATATTGGGGGAGGAGGAGAGTACAGTGGGTGATACAGGGGGAGGAGGAGAGAGTACAGTGGGTGATATTGGGGAGGAGGAGGAGAGTACAGTGGGTGATACAGGAGGAGGAGGAGTGCAGTGGGTAAGTGCGATACAGGATGAAGAGGCGGAGGTACAGTGGGGTGGGTACATAAACAGGTCCCACATACTGGATAAGAAACTGGGAGGTGGTCAACAGGACCTTGTAAACCGGTAGTCGTAGATAAGTTGTTGAGGCAAACGACCTGCCCACTGTAAGCCTCGGTCGTTATTGTCGCGTACTGGTGAGTGAGGAACCTGTCGTGTGTTGGTGAGTGAGTGAATCTGTCGGTACTGGTGAGTGTGTGAACCTGTCGTGTGCCGGTGAGTGAGCGAACCTGTCGTGTACGTGAGTGAGTGAACCCTGTCACTGGGAGTGTGTGAACCTGTCGTATACTGTGAGTGAGTGAATGAATCTGTCGTGTACTGGTGAGTGAGTGAACCTGTCGAACTGGTGAGTGTGTGAACCTGTCGGTACTGGTGAGTGAGTGAACGAACCTGTTGTGTACTGGTGAGTGTGTGAACCTGTCGTGTACTAGTGAGTGAGTGAACCTGTCGTACTGATGAGCGTGAATCTGTCGTGTACTGGTGAGTGAGTGAGTGAAGTGAGTGTGTGAACCTGTCGTACTGGTGAGTGAGTGAACCTGTCGTGAACTGGTAAGTGTGAACCTGTCGGCAAGTCTGGTGTGTTGGTGAGGAGGAGTGAATCTGTCGGTACTGGTGAGTGAGTGAACCTGTCGTGTACTGGTGAGGAGTGAGTGAATCTGTCGTGTACTGGTGAGTGAGTGAGTGAATCTGTCGTGTACTGGTGAGTGTGTGAACCTGTCGTACTGGTGAGTGAGTGAACCTGTCGTGTGTTGGTGAGTGAGTGAGTGAATCTGTCGTGTACTGGTGGAGTGAGTGAACCTGTGTACTGATGAGTGTGTGAATCTGTCGTACTGGTGAGTGAGTGAGTGAACCTGTCGTGAACTGGTAAGTGTGTGAACCTGTCGTGTACTGGTGAGTGAGTGAGTGAATCTGTCGTGTACTGGTGAGTGAGTGAGTGAATCTGTCGTGTACTGGTGGGTGAGTGAACCTGTCTGTACTGGTCTAGTGTGTGTTGTAAGGTGACCTGTTACAAGTACTCTGACCTGTTACTAGTACTCTGACCTGTTACTAGTACTCTGACCTGTTACTAGTCCTCTGACCTCTTACCAGTACTCATATATATTTTATTAGTACCCTGACCTCTAATAATACTCTGACCTGTTACTAGTACTCTGTGACCTTTTACTAGTACTCAGATTTGTTTTTAGTACTCACTGACAATACATTATTCACTTTCTGCATTATCACTTCAGTTCACTTCAGGTTTAGGTGTACAAATTTCCCTTTAAAAATCACACTCTTCATTATTGTACGCCATTCTTGTCAGAGTCTTCGTTTCCCGCCACCTTGAACACTTTCTTGGCCAGTGAGACGTCGGTGGGCAGATCTGGAGCTACGAGTGACCATTGGAATCGAGATTTATTCGTTTGGAAAGATTCACCGTTATGTGGATCCTGAGAATGTAAACAAACCCCACACTGAAAAGATTCACTGGTATGAGGATCCTGAGAGTGTAAATAAACCCCACACTGGAAAGATTCACTGGTATGAGGATCCTGAGAGTGTAAATAAACCCCACACTGGAAAGATTCACTGGTATGAGGATCCTGAGAGTGTAAATAAACTCCACACTGAAAAGATTCACTGGTATGAGGATCCTGAGAGTGTAAATAAACCCCACACTGAAAAGATTCACTGGTATGAGGATCCTGAGAGTGTAAATAAACCCCACACTGGAAAATAATTCACTGCTTAATGGATTTCACGTATATAAGCAAATAATACATTGACGAACGTGGATCTGTCAGAGTTTTAACCAATAAATTCCTAAAACATTTTCCTTTTCACAATTTCTCAAAGGTGTATAATTTAAGGCCATAATGGAGTTTAAAGATCTATTAAGGTCATTATATCAGCTGGTAGGAACATTTACCCGGGCCACTGAGTAAGCTTAGTCACTCTTGTTGACGTAAGTTACCTTTTCTGAGTGTTTGCACCACCGTGTGTTGACTCCCGCCACAGTTGTTTCACTTATGTGTATTATTACGTCTTGTCAACCCTGAAATATTGAGAACTCTTTGGTTAGGTAAGTTTTGTTTTTCAAGATTTTCATTTTTTGAATGTCAGTTTACATACATACATTCATACATACATAGGTATACTAAATGTATCGCTGAATTCCTCATTACAAGTTTATTGTGTCTTTGAAGTAGATTCTCTTAATTATGATGTGTATTGTTGTTCTAACCCCGGGAGTGATTGTTGGCCATAGTTCACCTTAACACTGGAGAGAGAGAGAGAGAGAGAGAGAGAGAGAGAGAGAGAGAGCGCACCTCCACTAACACGTCTTGTATCTCCCACAGTGTTGACGGTGAGCCTGGTGGGGCTGAGTACTGGCCGTTGTATCCCGCCCTCAGCGATCTCCCAAGGGCGTGTCTCCCTGGGCAGGGGCGGTTTTGTGGTCTCCTACTCCTGCAACGACGGCTACACCTTGGAAGGCACGCCCATCGCTGTGTGTGTTGGCGGCAGGTGGTCTTCTGCATCACCCACTTGTCTCCCTGAAGGTAAGGCACTCAACCATTTGTAAAATAGGGCAATGATTCTCAGAAAATTTTTACTTAAATGTTTTTACTTACTTAGAGACGTGAGAATGCAATCTTAATGAATTGCACGAATTATGAGATGATGATGGTAGCTGAAATAACGTCGACATCGATGTGCCTCGCCAGTTGTGTTTCTTCAGTCTCTGTCGCGGGAGAAATATAAGTACAAGTCTTGGAAACCACCTGGCCTGGCCATGAGCATGATGGTGTATTATGTGTTTGTTATTTTTAAAATAAACGAGTTTCTAAGATACAATTCTTAATAATGAAGGAAGCAAAAATAACTTTATCTATACCGGGCCAGACGGAGGAGTGGCTGGCAGGGCAGCCGGGAGAGTTAACTTCATCCCCAACCCAATATGCAAACAATTTGGTGAATCAAGGTGTTCTGTGGAGACGCCCCGATCTCCTGGCGATATCTGTCTGAGTCGCGGATGTATGAGAGGCGCTGGGAGATACAGGGAGACGGGGTGAGTGTTAGGGTGGCCAGGAGGCCTAATGCTCCACAACCCCGAGCACGAATTGCTTAATTACGTGAATTGTACATAAATTAGGGAGCTTCTACTCCGGCAAGCGACGTCTACAAGGCTCAGGTCGACGGTGTGTTGGTGTACAACAGTGTATAGTGGTGGTGTGTGGGTGTACACCAGTTTGTGTTGTGGCAGTCGTAGCCTCACTCAGATCTGGTCAACCCTCCCCCCAATCCCCTCTCCTCCCCTCCCCTCCCCTCCCCTCTCTTCCCTCTCCAGTGTGTCAATTCTGGTTTATTATGTCTGATAAATACAGTACACCATCGTGACGCTGTGTACGGACAACATCTTCCTCGTATATAATTAACTCACCTTAAGTCTACTTGCGGTCCTAACAACTAAGAGAAAACCCGAGGAATTAGTCTTGTCTTGACCATATTGACGTCCTTAATCTTCGGCTGATAGCGAGGTAGCAGGTGTGTGGTGGAGGTTTGTGGAGGTAGCAGGTGTGTGGTGGAAGATTTGTGAAGGTAGCAGGTGTGTGGTGGAAGATTTGTGGAGGTAGCAGGTGTGTGGTGGAAGATTTGTGGAGGTAGCAGGTGTGTGGCGGAAGAGATTTGTGGAGGTAGCAGGTGTGTGGTGAAGAGTCAGGTATGTAATGGGTCATATTGTATGGCTGGACAGATGTGTAGCAGGGAGAAACAGGTCTGTCGTATCCTTGTGACAAGTGTGTGGCAGAGTAGATGTGAAGGAGGACAGGAATTAATTTGGTCGATTGCTCGGTAGAACAAGTGTGTTGAGGCAGGTGTGAAGGATATAAGTTTTACAGGACAGGTATGTAGCGAAGACCTTTAGTAGCGCAGGTGTTTTATGGGTGAGATTTTTAGTGGCACACGTGTATGGTGGAACAGGTGTGGGACGGGAATGTAGCGGAACAGGTGTGAGACGGGAGAGTAGCGGAACAGGTGTGGGACGGGCGTGTAGAAGAACAGGTGTGAGACGGGCGTGTAGCGGAACAGGTGTGGGACGGGCGTGTAGCGGAACAGGTGTGGGACGGGCGTGTAGCGGAACAGGTGTGGGGCGGGTGTGTAGCGGAACAGGTGTGGGACGGGCGTGTGTGTGAGACGGAACAGGTGTGGGACGGGCGTGTAGCGGAACAGGAGTGGGACGGGCGTGTAGCGGAACAGGTGTGGGGCGGGTGTGTAGCTGAACAGGTGTGGGACGGGCTTGTGGTGGGGAGGAATAGCGACGTGGGTGGGCACCGATAACTCTTGGCCTCAACCAGCCATTAACGCTGGAGGTGGACCTCACATGACACGACACACAGCTCACTCACCCACCACGAATATGTCACTTCTGATACCTGGGCCTCAAACGACGTATTTTCCTGATAACTAAACACAAGAGGAAAACTGTAGAATATGACGATTTACACAGTATTTTAAATTTGGTCATTATTGTATAGAAGAAAATACCAAATATAAAACAGTTAAAAGTGTGAAGGTATTTTTAAGTAAACATTTGTTGGGTATTTGTAAGGGAGTATTAATTATGGTCATGGTGTCTGGTAATGAAAGTGAGGCGAGGAGGGCCGCGTCTGTAGGGATGGTTACTGACCCTGGACAGATGTTCAATCTAACAAGGGGGTGGGAGGGAGGGGGTGGGGGAGGAAGATGGGGTCAGGGAGGGGTTGTGGGGAAGCGAGAGGGGGTGAGGTTGGCTACTTACACAACCTATGTTTTTTTTGTTTTTTGTTTTTTTACGGGATTAGCCCACCAGGGCACAGGTCAATGACCCACATCGGGGTCTGGGGGCGAAAATATAATAATAATAATAATAATAATAATAATAATAATAATAATAATAATAATAATAATAATAATAATAATAATAATAATAATTGATAAAAAATAATAAATGAAAATATATAATAAAAATATAATAATAATGATAATAATAATAATAACAGTAAATAATCATAAAAAAACAATAGTGAGAAACGATATATGTATGTTGAGTTGTCAAAGTAAGAGAAACAATTGAGACCCTGTACCAAGTTGAGGTCTACCTATCCTGACCACTAGCCGAGAGCATCGTTAATACTAAGAGTTCTCGGTAATTTCAAACTCTAATTTTAACAGACAAAGGTCACTTTACAATACCTGGACAAATAAAAATTATTATTATTCAAAAACTGGCTTTTACAGCAAACGGATGCTGCAAATTGGGTGTTGAGCATCACAAACACCCTCCGTTTGTATCCTGGGGCAGTGTTCTCTCGTTCAGACTTTTATTTAAGGGACAACAGAACAGGCAATGGTCCCTATACCACCAGAGACAGACGCCGCCACCTTAGTCCGTTCACTAATCCTGCCAAGACCTGGACGTCGCTCATCACAACCAGTCAGATCTGAAGGTGAAAATTACACTTCACTTGACACCAAAGGTTTATATGTAAAGTGATCCGTGCACAATCAAACAACTTGAACAAAGCTTTTCCCATATTCAGGGCTGTGTTTGGGTGAGTCCTCAGCTCACTCACCACAGCTTGGCCTACTCGATGGAGCAATAGCACGATGTGTTTTCCTGGACTTGACTAAAGAGACGACAGGCTTCCTGCATAAACATATAAACATGTAAACAACTGTGCACCTCGCCCCAGAAGCAGACAAAGGCATCTAGACAGACCTGAGCTGATATGCCAAGGGGGCCGTCGTCGTGAGCCGTTTGATGAGAGATTAAGGGTGGGTGTTTACAGGCTGGTCCTGCCACACATGGTCTCCGTCCTGGACACAGGTTTTAGGTATGGCAGATTTAGTACGACAGGCCCAGTGTGATAGAGCAAGTGTGACAGACCACATGCGACAGTGTAAGTACGACAGACGAGATGCAACAGATAGGTACTGTACAATAGGCCAGGTGCGACTGAGGAGGTGGGTTAGCAGGGTAAACACACTGACCCGGCCAACCTACCTCACACATCTTACCTAAGGTGTTTTCCCCTTATAACAGACAAGAGAACACAGTTACTGTACAGTCTGGGTGTAATGTCAACTTCATGTGGGAAAAACAAACAACGTGATAATCGAAACGTTTTATTGTAGTTATCATCGCCCATATATGGTAAAACAAAGTCCTAATATGGCTTTTGTTGAATTACATTAACTTAAAATGTTTACTTAATATAAATGGAAAATCATAGAATACAATGCTAAAATCTGGCAATGTTCCTCATATTTGTGGAATTGTTTAAGTGCGAGATATAAAATAATACTTCAACAGTATAAATAATTGTAGTGAAGTATCTGTGTGTGCTTCGTTTTATTCTTTATCAATTCTTATCCACATATGTATTGTCTTATAACAATATTTCTCCATTTTCTTAAGTTTGGGTAATTGCGTGAATCTTTTAACTGTCCAGGTATGTTAATCTTGTGCCTCTCCTCCCGTCTGTAGTCAAGTAACATCACCTGTGTTTGATAGACGTGAGGGCTGCCTGACACTTGTACAACCAGATCGATCTTTCCTTAACCCTTTAAGTACAATGACTTAACGTCTTGAGTACAATGTTTTAGTCCTTTGAATATGATGACTTTTTCCTTCGAATACGGTGACAATGTATTCATGGGTTGTCACCGTACTGAATGGGTTAAGTCACTGTTTGAGCCAGTCATGTGTACGTCAGAACCCTCACTCATGCTGTGTGGTGTGGCGAGGTACGGTAGGTGGTGTGGTGTGGCGTGGCGAGGTAGGTGGTGTGTTGTGACGATGTACAGGAGGTAGTTTAGTAACTAATTCCAATATTATAAATTAATTTTATTGTTATTAGTTAATTTTACCGCCACACCGCCCCGTTAAGTACTGTACTGTGGTGTCCCTCAGGACTCATTTAGTTTAAAACTTGGGTTGAAACACGACGATCCTCTTCAAGGGAAGATGTTGTTTAATAATACGGGCGTAAGGCTCCTGACCACCATCTCCTCCCATCCCCCCATCTCCCCCCACCCCATCTCCTACCCACCCTACCCACCATCACCCCCCTCTTCACCACCCACTGACCTACCGTCACCCCACCCCACCTCAAAACCCACCTTACCTTACCACCCACAGTCCTACTCAGCCAACAAGGACAGTGACAGTTGTCTTGCCTTATACAGAGACAAGGAGGACTAGGGCACAAGATGAGAGGGAAGAAGTTAGTGACACAAAATTCCACAAAACTAAATCCAGCAACCAAGAAATTTCAAATTGACCTTACCTTACCACCTACTAGGCTACACCTGTCAATTATATGCCGTCACCACTGTAAGTTAATACCTAACTGGATGGCTTATGATGTGTAGGGTACAGAAACCTTTAATTTATATTTCCAACGTTAATAATATCATTGTTGACGATTATAATTTTTCACGTTGATATTATCACTACTAATATTTATACCATTAAATGATTAATTAAACGTCCCTTGCTACCTGTAACTGTACCAACACT